GATTTGAGCACCCTGATAGTTGACTTTTTTAGACCTCCAAAAGAGATCCCAAAAGTTTATTTTGGAAGATTGCCAAGGCAATTTTGGGGTTCCATGTCAGGTTTTGCAACATGTATGATATATATACATTATACACACATTATACATTGTATACATACATATATATATAGAAATACAGTATATAGATAGAAACCAAGCCTACCAGTCCGTGAATATTCTTGCAAGCATGAATGAGGGTAAAAGACTCCATTGGCTGTAAAATATTTTATGTCTGTATTAGTCTTGACTCGATGTAGGCACAGGCCCTTTATCAAACCATAGCATGAAATGTGAGGAAAGCACAGATGTAGCGGAGAAAAGGGAATCGCACATTCTGTCATTTTGATTGACTTTAAAATATTCAAGTCCATCCAGTGTTTTTAGGCAATGATTACTTTCAGTATCAAACCATCCAAGTTTTTGATGCAAAAACAGGTGTGCATCCCTCTATCTCTCTACATATGTATATATGTATATATATATACATATGTATATATATATGTATATATATACATATATATATGTATATACATATATATATATATACATATACACATGCATTTATACACATACATAGAGCTAAATCTTTTGAGCCATCTCCACATGCCTCGGCTTGCAGCAAACACTGCTGCTGGATGTACATATTGGCGCCCACATGACTCTCGGCATCTCAGGCATCTTAGTAAGTGATCTCACGTATACGTGTATATGTACATATATATATATATATCAATTGGGTAGCGGAAGCTTTTGGGACAGCAGTGGCTGCTAAAGCCCGGTTTGTTGATGAGTTCGGGGATCCTTCTCACCAATACATTAAAAATAATCACAATCCAGGAAAATCCTGTTCTCAAGCAACCAGCACAAAGAGGAAGTTTCCATGACCGAACGGCCGTCCCAGCGGCTTTGGGAAGATATACTGGTCCCCAAAAAAGTGAGAAACACATTAAATAACTATTTGCTGCTTTTTTGATGGTGATTTTCTTTTCCAAAACAGCTTTAGGATGCCACTTCTGAGTGGAGAAATTCCTGTGCAGCCGAAATTGGGCAGTGGGGCCAAGGCGGATTTTCATAGCAAAAGCGAGAGCGATCTCCAGAAATCTTGGAGAGTCTACAGCAGGATGTGTTTGGACAAAGAAAGACAAGGGCAATGGCGTAATGTTAACCCCGTGTTAGCTCCCCCAGTTTGCTAATAGGGACAAAAAAAACTCATCGTCATTTGTGAATATTCTTGGGGTACCACCCGATTTTTGACCAACAGAGGTTGACACAATTCCGGGGTTGACATTCCTTGGTTCTTGAGGTGAGCTGCTTGGTGTTGGGATCACCCACTTTGTCCATGGGGCTGTTGACCCAGTTGAAACTGGTAGGGCCCGTCATTCTATGAAATGGATCATATATATATATATATATAATTCAGAAGGGGCTTGGCACAAGAGAGGATGATGCTTTTGGAACCACCAAATGCCATGGTTTATAATTATGTTACTCACAACTATCGCAATTCTGGGGGTATATTGGCATTCCCTGTTTTGTTGCAGACCCAGATAGGGATGGTTCAAGTGACTGAAACTTGCCACCAGTCGCTGTTTGGGATTCTCATTCCAGTTGGGCAAACTGCAGAAATCCATTGTTTTGGGGGCCCTCCAACCCAGTGTTCATCAGTCTTCGACGCAACTGAGCCAACTATGCAGCGTTTTGATCTCAAAAGCTTGAAGTTGAGTCACCCAGTGGCCAGTCCAAACAGTCCCCAGGGATCCCGGGTCATCCACACATGGAGCCTGTCCTTCTCAGCCCCCTCGACCTTCACAGGGATGTCCCGAATCGGCATGTGACAGCCAAGGTCTTCGTCCTCTGAGCATGAGCACCTCAACCATCAAAGCAACCTAGGAAAAACCGACTTCAAGGCCCGATTTTATAATTCAGTCCCCCAGTTTTGCTGAAGTCTATTCATTTAGACCATGTGGTAGAACATCACTCTACACACCACCTTAGCAGTTCCATCTGCCGTGCCCGCGATGTCCCCTGAGCGGCTCTTTTTTGCCTTCGTGGTGTGCCGCGATGGAGAAGGAGGAGGAGCCCCAAAACTGGCGACCTTCCCGGAAGATTGGGTGAGACATGGGTCCAAAATGATATAAGGCTTACCCCAAGATTGCAACTTGAACTTGGAAAATGATGATCCACCATGAGGAAAGATGGGGTTCCCGGGGTTCCCTGTTTTGAGAGAAATGGCCCAAACTCATTTTGGGGTTCAATGTTGCATGGGTAGTATTGTATTGGTCAGGCAAAGGGCCCCCAATTTCGGTAATTTCCATCCCGTAGGGGCATTCTAATGAAAAAGGGTAGACCCAACAAAAATCCCAAGTAATTAGAAACCTTCTAATTCTGGCACATCCCACGGATATTCGCGCGTTTCAAGCATGCAGGAAATCATCCTCCCCGGCGACGTCGTGCGATTGGTCGACCTGCAGAATGTGGAGCCATGGCTGCGTCGTGTGTGGCCAAACATGGGTGACCCTAAAGGGTTTCCCCAAACAGTTTATTCTGGTCTTTGGGGGGTGGCATCATTCTATTCATTCTCATAAACCATAGAACGCGATAGAAATAAGCCATTTTATATATCCCCGGTTTTGACCAGTGATGATCATGTTTATCATTATGATGATCATTATCATATATCATTAAACATCATTAAACTTTACTAAACATCCAAGTCTTGGCCATGGCAAGTTCTTATATCATCAGACTGGGCCCACTGGGTCACACCAAGGCATGGCTCAACGGATTGGTGCAGCTGGCATGGCTTGAGACCTGGCTGGCTGGGCTTGGAAGAAAAAGGGCCTAAAGTATCCTAAAGTCAGAAAGGGAAAAAAAAAGCACCCCAGAAAACCGGATTTAGTCGTGTTTTTCTTCATCTTCATCTTCTTCTGCTTCCAGGTTCCGCAGAAGTTCAGTACGGGAGAAGTGACTGTGCGAGGGTTTTCCGGGTTTTTGCGTTCACCTGGAGAGGTACTGGGTGAAACTCAAAATGATTGATCCCATTTTTGGGATGTTTTCAGATCCAACAAAAGAGTAGCCGTTTGTGGTGCAAGTACTCCATTTGTGGTCTACCCAGCTTTTGGAATATTTTGGTGACTCACTTAGAATTTGCCAAAATTTTGTAGACTACTTCACTCTTCACCTTTGAACCATCGGACTGTTCAAACCCGGTCTTTGTAGGTTGCTGTGTATGGTTATCTGTAGCATATCTGGTCCCCATGTTAGGGGATTTCCTAAACTAGGGGTACCCGAATCATCCAAGTCATTTGAGCATTGTAGTATTGAAACCCATGGTGACTTTGGGGTACCCACATTTTAGGAAACCTCCATCTGGTCACCATGTACTCACCGCACCCCCGTTCCGCCAGACGGGGACCGTGGTGGGGCCTGATGTGGAACGCCCTGGGCGATGGCAAGTGGACCTGGGGGAGGCGTCCGCTTCCAGTGGTTAGGTGAGGTGGCCATGATTTGTAGCTGATTAGTGGCTGGTTATAGTTCTGGGTCAACCTTGGCTAGATACTATTTACTATTTTTTTTAAAATTTTGTTGGTAAACATGTACTACCAGCTTAAAACAAATGGCAGGTATCTAAGTTTCACCATGAGTTTATCACTTGGTCTTTTTTTGTCCGTGGAAGGAGGTTGGAATCAAGGCGCTCCTGCGGAAGAACATGGCGTGGGCGCTTGGAGTTGTGACGTGTGGACTGAGTCTACTGATCATGGGGATTTTTAGCCAACAAAAACAGGGATATGAAAATGATTTTACCAGCTGAAATAGGGGTTTGAAGGTGATTTTACCGACTGAAATTGGTGATTCTACCAATTGAAATTGGGATTTTAGCTGGTCATGTTGGATTGTATAGTTTTGTGGGGATAGAATGGGACGCAAAACTATCAGCATTTCGGATTTGATGTCGGATTTTGTCATCAACAATTGGGATATTATTGTTAAGTTAAACATCAACAATAGGGGGTTATCAATCAGCAATCATAGGGATATTTAAATAAGGGGTACTGTCAACCCTGGATTAGTAAACCCTTAGAATGTTTAATTGGGCGGGGGAGACCATTTAAGTATCAGATTACCATAGAATATCACTATTTGGAGGGTACTTGCATAATTAATAAATCATGATTTATTAATCCAGGGTTGACATTATATGATAGGAGTATACAAACCAACCATTATATATGGGAATCAATGAGGATATAAAGACATTGTAACAAACAGTATGAAATTTGGGTTTGTCCAATGATGGGGAGTACCTCAAAATCGCAATTTTTAGTTGAGAAAAATGCCGACAAACCACGAGAGCGGTTGAACAGAATCGTACAGTCTTTCAAGGATGTTGAAATATGCAAAAACTGTTATATCCTGGATCAGATCTCATCAAACAAAATCAGATAATTTTCTTGATCTTCCCAAACTCACCTCAGTGAAGTGTTGTGGAGGTTCGATCTTACTAGCTGATTGTTCACATGTTTACGGAGTGAAAATCATGTGCCCTACCCACGGATTGGGTAAGCAGATGGCAGGCCCTTCCGCACACCGTTGGCCGGGTGTGGGGCGCATGCCGGGGTGCTTTGCGGCTCTGCGTGATCTCAAAGTATCCAATCAGACACGCGGGGCACTTGGCATTGAACCCTTGAGGCCGACGCATCCTGATGCAAGGATGTATGACAGCGAGACGATGCGCTAATGTGCTCGCTTGGGGGTTCCCAGGGGTCACTGGCCGGCATGTTGTAGGGGAGGCCTTTCCAGCCTCTCCAGCTACACCTCTTTTTTCCTTTGTCCGATTGCAAAGCCCTCTCGAGACTATTAAAGTTTCAACTTGCAAGCTGGCTAAGTTTCAACTTGCAAGCTTTGCGGGCCAAGATGGTGATTGCCAAAATGGCTCACCACTGGGGTGCCACACAACCCGCAAAGCCGGGTGGTTCAAAGCGTTTGCATTTGTCTGCAGATGTATCCTGATGCAATTGAGTTTTTTTAGTTTCAGTGGAATTACTTGGGCTATAGTGACCATACGTGGAATTACTTGGGCCATACTATATTGACCATACCTGCTTGAAACACTAGCCAGAAACGGCGGATGAAACACACGTTGGTTGATATTGGGGGCTTTGTTCTTCGCATACAAACTTGCGGATGCTGGGAAATCCAACCTCTGAGAATTGGAGGTGTGCAGTTTGCGATGTAAAGATTATGATTTGATTTGAAGTATAAAATTGACAAACATAAATCAGGTGCATCCACACTTGCCTTCAGACAAGATCGGTGGTCTCGGAGTTGGATATGCGCCCTACCCACGGATTGGGTAAGCAGATGGCAGGCCCTTCCGCACACCGTTGGCCGGGTGTGGGGCGCATGCCGGGGTGCCTTGCGGCTCTGCGTGATCTCAAAGTATCCAATCAGACACGCGGGGCACTTGGCATTGAACCCTTGAGGCCGACGCATCCTGATGCAAGGATGTATGACAGCGAGACGATGCGCTAATGTGCTCGCTTGGGGGTTCCCAGGGGTCACTGGCCGGCATGTTGTAGGGGAGGCCTTTCCAGCCTCTCCAGCTACACCTCTTTTTGCCCTTGTCCGATTGCAAAGCCCTCTCGAGACTATTAAAGTTTCAACTTGCAAGCTGGCTAAGTTTCAACTTGCAAGCTTTGGGGGCCAAGATGGTGATTGCCAAAATGGCTCACCACTGGGGTGCCACACAACCCGCAAAGCCGGGTGGTTCAAAGCGTTTGCATTTGTCTGCAGATGTATCCTGATGCAATTGAGTTTTTTAGTTTCAGTGGAATTACTTGGGCTATAGTGACCATACGCGGAATTACTTGGGCCATACTATATTGACCATACCTGCTTGAAAACCTAGCCAGAAACGGCGGATGAAACACACGTTGGTTGATATTGGGGGCTTTGTTCTTCGCATACAAACTTGCGGATGCTGGGAAATCCAACCTCTGAGAATTGGAGGTGTGCAGTTTGCGATGTGAAGATTATGATTTGATTTGAAGTATAAAATTGACAAACATAAATCAGGTGCATCCGCACTTGCCTTCAGACAAGATCGGTGGTCTCGGAGTTGGATATGCGCCCTACCCACGGATTGGGTAAGCAGATGGCAGGCCCTTCCGCACACCATTGGCCGGGTGTGGGGCGCATGCCGGGGTGCCTTGCGGCTCTGCGTGATCTCAAAGTATCCAATCAGACACGCGGGGCACTTGGCATTGAACCCTTGAGGCCGACGCATCCTGATGCAAGGATGTATGACAGCGAGACGATGCGCTAATGTGCTCGCTTGGGGGTTCCCAGGGGTCACTGGCCGGCATGTTGTAGGGGAGGCCTTTCCAGCCTCTCCAGCTACACCTCTTTTCAGTGGCGGCCTTGGGAGTTGTACATATGGAGCTGGGATGCTTTTGATGCCTGCAACGGAACCACTTCCGCTTGAGGAAGCTTTTCTGAATCTTGCTCCGGCATGTAGATCACAGCATTCACTTTGCCTTGTAATTTGAGAGCTAAAGGTATTGTCTCACGATTTGGGCGACAGTTGGAGGTGTTCCCTGGCTTCAACGTACCAACTTCTCAAGGGCCAGTCATCAGACGCTTTATATTAGAGCCATTCACTGACCAAGCAGCTGCAGTCTCTAGTCACAAGTTTGCAACTACAGCCAACATGCCAAGAAGTTTTAGGTTCCGTACCAAAACCACTGGTGTTTTTTGGGTCCAACAATCGGCTCTCCAGAGAACCAGGGCCTACATTGATTCTATGCAAAGAGAAACATCAATTTCTGGCCTCTGGGCCCTATGTTTCTCTCGCTTCCTATCTCTGAGAATGGGCAGACCATCCTTTTCTGGGTGAAAGGACACATATCCGACATATCCATTCTCACTCAACTCACATTTCTTTGGCCCAAAAGAGAAGATAACTCCAAATCACATCTCCAAAAACAAGAAACATCAACATTTCGTGAAGCAAACTTACTGTAACTTCCGAACCCCCCATTGCTCTTCGATTTACATATTGACTCTCAGAAGGGGATTCTATAACAAAATATATTTGGGCCGCGATCTTTCAGGATAGATGATTCATGCAATTCAAAGCAATATCCAACCACTAGCACCAATCGATCGAATCCATACTAAGTTCTGAATTTCTGTGTTTATTTTCGTGATTTCCCCATTTTGTTGCTGAAGCCCGAAAACATCCATGGTTCGACCTCCTCCATCGACACCTGCAGGTCCCAGTGGAACAACCCGAGGACGCTGCAGAGCCAGGTGATTTGATCCAACGACTGCTAGAACCAACGACAAATGCAGCCGAGACCACTGCAGAAACAGATGCAGGCAGGAGTGATGAGTTGATTTTTTTGGTTCTTTAATTAATTACATACTGTACCAGTAGTACCGCACAAGGCGGTAGCGGAA